ATTTCCGATGCGGCAACAATTTGAAAGAGGATTGCACATAGAATAAGTGTATCAAGAATTTTACAAATTGGAATAACCATGGAAAACTGTTCACTTTACATTTTTTGTTATTATTTGATGGTAAATTAAAAAAAAACATTGTTGCTGGTGTAAATAAATATACTACTACCATTTTTGTCTGTGAATCTTCAATTCAAGATAGTTTAGGATGTTCAGTGTTAAGAAAACTTTATGTAACTTTATTACGTATAGTAATTAACAGATTTTAAGATTCGTTAAATTGTTAAAACACTCATCAGCTACGAACTTTCGTTCCAATCTCCAATCTTGTGGTGAGAACGTAAGTGTAAAATTATTTAATACAAGTTTCATTGGATGAATGGATCTAGACATGTTTTCCGAAATTGCTGTGGCGAGTGGTAAATTAAATATGTGCCTAACAGAAGATGTATCCTTTTATCTAAATATTAACACGTTAGTTACACATTAATATTTAACTACGCTGATGGTTCCATATTTCCAGTTGTCATTTAATATTAGCGTGTGCAATAGTACCTATTCAGTTTTCCTTTTTTGGCATATATTTGAAATTAATATATAGTCAGGTAATTACTTTCTGAATTTTTTTAAACTTACATTTCTGATAGTCCAGATGGATTCAAGCAGCAAACAAAATTGACCTCTTCTAATTTTGGTTGGTTAATGTTAATCTACTTTGAATTTTATGAAACCCACGTTTTTTTGTTTTTCCGAAAAAAATATTTGGCGCTCTTTGGCGCCATGTGCAGAATTTCATTAGCTTTTACCTGTTTTTTTTCAGAATTCAAATTGCTTTTAAACTTTCTAAGATAAATGAGAAAAACTGGAAAAAAGTAATTTTTTTCAAAATTGATTTTCTCAAAAACCCCATACTTTAGTTTCACCAAATTTGGATATGTTTTTTAAGGCCAAATAAGCTATCTTTTAGCCCAGCGGGAATGTGCCAACGTTTCGATAGGATGATTTGGGTCAATATGACCGCCACTTAAAAAAAATATGCATTTTCATTTTTGGAACAACGCTGTCACGATGTAAACATTGGCATGGCGCCACAGCTCCAAAAATTTTTTTCGGAAAAACAAAAAAGCACGGGTTTCATAAAATTCAAAGTATATTAAAATCCCAAAGCTTCAAAAAATCGAAGAGGTTGATTTTTTTTGTTCAATGACAAAAACTGTGGAAATTTACATATACTTTTTACATATTTGTAAGGGTTTATATTCACAAAAATGTAAATTAATTGAATATACATAACATGTTGTTTTTACAATATTTATTTTTACAAGACAAACAAACCAATCAGGTTAATCACGTGATCATCCGGTATGGTATTATCGTATTAATACGGTGTATGAAAAGAACTCTGCTAGCGGTCTAGCAGACCATATGTTTAGATTAATTTAACTATCTAAATATAATGTATAAGTAAACGCTGAGGTAAGTAAATAATATAACTGTATGAGTTATATAAATCTTGATTTAATTTAAAGCCACTGAAGAGTACGAGGAACATCCAATATTGACTGAACTTCACCTAACTTTTACACGCATGCGTCAGGATTACAGATAACTCTTTTGTTTATGACTTTTACGACGTCCTACGAGGTTTTCGGGGTCGCTGATTACGAATCTGAGTAACAAAAGTCAAAATGGCGGATCCAATATGAATGAAATAAAATATTGGAACGTAGCAATGAAAAAAATTAGACAAAATTTCGAAAACCTGAAGAACTAGTGGAATTTAGGTATTTGCAGTTTAATTTTTCTCTCTTTTTGGGTGTATTCTAATATCCCAATATCTATGGATACGCTAAAGTAATTAATTTTAATAAACGAATGTTCGTAGATGAAAAAATGAATTTTGAAGGAGAACGGTATACTTTCAGAAGCAATAAAGAATTTTGTGGAGGAAAATTATTACTTCATGGTCTAACATAACCTTAAAAATGCAAAAACGCTGAGGTCGGTTTTAATTCAGCGTGAAACGCTCTCTAAATTATATTGTCAATGTTGTGTAAATGCCTGAACACGAAAAATAAACTTTAATTGAGTCTCAGCATACTTTTTTTGTTTACAAAAGAAATAAGGGTTCTGATTTTTGTCTCTGAAACAACTTTAGAAAAGTATTAAGTATATCATAATTTTAGCTATCCAAACTGAAGCGTATCGACAATAAATCCCTTAATACCACTTCTCAGTCACTCTCTCATCTAAATCCCCAAGTAATTTACAATAATGCCATTACGGAATACTTTAAGCATACCCTTGAATTCTTATTGTAAGATGAGCACTTAAGCCGTATTAATCAGCGCCAACCATAACTTTATTGAAACTTTGGAAAAACCCACGGAGCATTTGGACGACAATGAAGGTTAGAGGACTATTAGTACTATTACACCTTACAAATTCAACTGGTACCTGTTAGATTTCGAGCCTTGCGGTAATAAAAATCGCGTCGTTTATAGCAGTATTTCGCCTTGGCAAGGGTCCAGGGAAACACCTGTGTAGGCCCGAAGAGAGCCCAGGTAACCGGCCTAGACTGTTTGTCGCCGGACCAGGGACCACCCGGGTGTTATAGTAAAAGTTGTAGTAAAATAAGGTCCATTCACGCACGGTACAGCGTTTAACTCTCGCATTCTTCGGCGTCCACAAGGCACTTGTGGACATGCCTAAGGCAAACAGATATGAACTCGTTTATGTAGTACCGCCCGGTACCTTCACTTGAAAGCTTGGGGTAATGCGATTATCATTTATGCTTTTTTACAGTTAATTTTCATCGTTTAACTTGGGAGAATCTTGTGTAGGCACTAGAGCGTTACAAATAAATGGTGAATTGTAGAAACAGGTCTCATGCACTGACAAGTATAATCATAGATTTAAATTTGAACAAAATTAAACACATAAACTCTCAGATCTTTAGATATGTACAAGTAGTTTTATATACGCTGAAAATTTGTCGATTGAAAAGTTTCATTGGCAAATACAAATTTTGCCAAACGAATACTACACTGATGATCCTGATGCCTTCATTTAAAAATTTAGAGTAATGGATAAAACAAAAACGTTTGTTCTTTTTTGGAAAACAAAATTGTAAAGACTATGTAATATTTCTTATAGTGTTCATTTCTGTTATGTAAATCATTTCCCTTCATCATTATTATTATTATTATTATCGTCAACTGTCAGTATGTAGGTACAAATCTAAATTATAAAATTGATATTGCCTAAAAATGAACAAATAAAAAAGTCTCACCAAATTGAAAAGTTCAGACTTGCTCTCAAACAGAATTTAGAATACTGCAAAAGAAAAATATAATCCAACTAATCTCAACCTAGCAACCCTAAATTCACTTCTTCGTGAACATTGTTCTATATTTGTTAACAAGTTATCGGCATCGGAACAATTTATGATTAAAATAAAAGAGGATTTAAGTGATAAATAAAACAAAACTTATCAAGCTTGTCAAAAGGCACTGAATTGATTGGCAGGGATTACAGTTTATGTATTTAATGGGAAATAATAACAATGATGTAGTAGGTGACTGGCATTTCTTGATAATGATGTTTTTTAGAGCAAACAGACATGCAGTCGAATGATTCAATATCGATTGCCATTTTTAAAGTCACCTAAAGCGCTTTTACGTTTACAAATGTTCAAGAAACTGGTTAAGAAATTGTCGTTATATCTTTAACATTTTTCTATGATATATTATTATTATAAATTGACCAATTTATTGGTCATATTTAACGTTACAAAGTGCAAACTTTTGGAATAAAAAACAATCATGATAACAGCAAATTATAAAATATAAAAGAAATAGGAGAAACTTTGACCTAAGTCAACAAAGAAGTATGTGCAATTTATTCTTGAAACGTAGACTAAAAATTAGTACCATTATCGAAATATTAATGGACACGAAAAATCGAGAGAATGCGTCCATAAATTAGAATCAATTCTATTATCCCCAATTTTTTCAACCAATTTATTGAAATTTGTCAAATTTGTTAGCCAATTTATTGGGCAGTATATTAGTAAACTTAAACAACTTTTATATTTTCCTCGTTCCTTTTTCCTTATCACCTTTTTTATTTTTTACTTTTGTTATGTAATTTCTTCATTCATTGTACTTAATATTGTATGTATTTTCTACTTTGTAATTGGTTTTTACTTTAGAATAATGTATTAACGTTTTGTTATGATTTTCTTATTAACTACATTTGGAAGGGATATTAATGTATCTAGTGTACTGTGCAATATAAATGCTTTTTTTAATCAAAAATGCATTTGAAAAACGAATTAATTCAATGTATATCGTATGTGTCATATAAAATGTGTCTTGAAAAATACTCCTAAAAATACACTATACCTAAAGGTAGATAGATTTTAGTATATACTAATCCACACTTCAATGAAGATGCTGCTTGTTTTGAACAACTATAAATGCCATCTGCTTGAGAAAACATAAAAATCCAGATAATTTTCATACAAGTAAGTTCTAAGTTGTGCCAAACTTTCGCTCAATTTTGTTTGAAAATACAAAAATTACATTACTTTTCATAATTATAAAAATAATCAGAATGCAAATGCAGTATTTTCATACTTCGATTGGATTCAATAAATCTTGAATCCACAATGTTGTAATTTTCTTACTAATCAAAAAAGCAGTTGAAAAATAGAATTGATGATATATATAAAGGTACTGTGTTTTCTTTAAAAAATAGTTCGAATACTAAAATAATGTTCAATGAATTTTATAAGAGAATTTTGCTAATTTTGTCCACAGTTTGCTTTTTCTTAAACATTTTTCTACCCAAGTTTGTCACAACTTGTAGCCTATTTGTATCACGTTTGTATGGATTTTCACAATGTCCCATCCGTGTAACGGTACTCAGGATATCTCCAAATTGGCGGTATTGGGTGGAGGATTCGCAAAAATCCTAAAGATTTGAGGATTACTTACGCGTAGCGATACTCATCCTCGAGTTGTACATAGTCCGGTGGTATGATATGCCACGTCGCGTCGTACGGTGGACATTCTTCGTATCCGCTGCCTGCCATAGTGTGCACCACAAGTCTCTCGGTTCTTTATACAGAGCACTTAGAACCACACTGGCACCATAGCAGATAGATAGGAACTTATCAATACATTGCAACTTCTGCCAGGTGGACGGGTCTTGTACACATATTTATATAAATATGATAAGATATGATATAAAATTATTGACAGGTGCCGGGCTGTATTAGTACATATTGCGCCAATAGGCGCCCGTATTCGATACAGCATGCGTTTGAGAAAAACGTCCCAGTTTTTGTTATTTACGTTTTTGCACTCTTCGCTTCCAAGCAATCGAATGAAGTGGTTCCTCTTGATGAACCTGAATTAAAAGGCAATGGGCAAAACTGATTGATATAATTTTTTAAACTCCCAATTCCTCTAGGTTCGAAAATCGTAACATTAATTTTGAACTAATAATATTTTAGGAATCGACTACTTTGTGGGCCAATTCAAGTTAAATCTTAGATAATGTCTTCAAAACAGTTTCTGCTAAATTGGAAATTATATTCCTACCAAGAAATTTCAATAGTGCCTCTACTTTTGTTTCTGGAATACTAAAATGCGGTCCATTATTTTAAGTATTACAAAATAAAAGTAGATAATATTTAATAGCTGAAGAAACATAAGGATCAAAACGTAAACTCTGCACATAGTAAATTTAAGCAGAATCTGACCCTGGTCCGAAAGCTTACGGAGGGCACCGGAGCGACACAGCCACAACGCTTGGGACTGTGTAACCTTCATGCACAAGGCATTTAGGGTATACATAGGTTTCATAGAGGAGCAAAGTCTCTGCTGTATTTTTGGTGGCCTATAAATAGGAGCAATATTGATTAATTAGAGAAAAGTGGTATTATATAGTTGAAATAAAAATTTATAATTACCTATGAAAAAAGGTTTAGAGACCTTAATATTTCAAGATTATTAAGGTGAACTAACAATCCTAAATAATTACTGATTGCGCGTTAGCAATTATAAAGATAATTAAATTAATTCCTTCAAATGTTTTGAGGATGCTTAACCTTTCCCACTTGAAAAGCTGCTACTGACACATTTTGAGTCTTTTTAGGGTTGAGGTTTATAACCCAGAGATATGTTTTATACTCAAAATATGAAAATTTGCTGAATTTTCAGTTAATCTTTACATAATCTCCAGAATACTTGACAGGAAGTATGTTCGTTTTAATCCAAAGGGCATCTGTGGGAATCTGTGTGAATTCATAATGTCCTTCTTCGGTAGAGAACGCTGTTTGTTCGATATCATTTTCATGCATGATTGTGTATTTGGTGGAATCCTGCTGAAGTTGAATCCAGTGGTAAAATATTGCGCTTTTTCTAATTGAAATGTCCTCAATCCACGAAATGGTGTATTTATCATCAATTGTCACTTCATTGAGTTTCCAATAAGTTAATAACGAACCGCCATTTTTTTTCCCTTGCGCAAAAAGCTTTTTTGGGACAACCCAAACGAGATTTGAATAAGCTGATATTGAATGATGTCTTGACTAAACATATTTTGTAATTGGTAGTGGACTTTTTTGTACATATCTGTAGAACGGTGCTTCATTTTTTTACATTTTTTATGTTGAATTGGATTTGTAAAGGGCAATGATAAACCTTCGTGATGGAATTTGTAATACAGTCATCCGAAATGAGTTCTGATGATTGAATACGGTTTAGTTCAGTCCAACACAAATTCATTATTTCTGTAACTGGAAATGCTTGATTAAAATTTGTAGTTTGTTGTTCACTGGAATTCCTAGTAATTGTGTAAATGTCTCCGTTTGATATGGTTAAAAAAAGATCACTGGTTTTCAAAATTTTATTTAAATTTTTTCCTATTACTTAGTATTTTTTACTTATAACTTGAATTATTATTATTTGTACTGTAAACAGTATTGTTATCAGATATAGAGTGATCTTGGATCTTGATTAATTAATTGATTATTATTTATGTAGATAGTGATTTTTGCTGATGTTGATACAAATAAACGTCGATGGTCGTTTTTAGATTGGCCATTAAATTTATTCCTATTAATCCTTCATAGTTTGTTTTTATGACACAGTCTCGAAATATAAAAAAAAATTCGACACTGGAATATTACCACTATATTTCTTCAGTTTCTTCGTTTAAGAAAGATTTTGTCTAATAAGCGTTTAACAAGAAATTTAGCATTATGTTCTGGTGCATATGTATAAGCGTTGAGTGAGGAAATAGTATTCCTCACCCCCACTCAACGGTGTCAGGGAGATGATCTTGTGGATATTCTCTTGGTTCAAAAAATCCAAAATGTATATCATGCGCCTAGAGTTTTTAATATAAAATATACCAGCCTTTTAGATTATGCAACACACAATACAACAGTGCGAAACGAAAATATAATAACATTGTTTCCTGCTAGAGTCTAGACTAGGGCTGCCAGATCTCCGGGCATGTATCTAGTCTCCATGTCTCCGGGTTTGAGATATTTCCTGATTACGTCCTTTTTTTTAGACATCGGTTTCTTCGAAAACAATTTTTGTTTCCCAAATTCCTGAGACTTTTTTGCACGCGATTGCATGTTGCTACCAAGGACATTTAAATAAAGGGGACTATGCATGTCACAGTCTATCTCATATGTTGGGTGAAGCTAGACAAGGGGAAAGCAGAGGGCTTTATTTTCATCCAACTGATGTGCGCGATTACATCTCCATTGCCGTACATTTTGGATGGGTCAAAATAAAATATTTTATAGTCCTAAGTCAATATATTTCAACAGTTACTCAGTATTTTTATAATAAATATATATAAAATTTTTATAACTTCTTAGAATCCCAATAACTGTAACCATTTCTTTCTTGTTGCACCATCCCCAAGCATCCTAAAAACGTTCACATTTCACTTTTAGAATACTGAGGCAAATTTTCAGTGAGACAAAAATATATTCCCAAAGGAAAACATCAAATGGTTGAATGAATGCAACTTTCAGTTGATTGCATCTTCGGTATTTTTATGTATAAGTGAACCACCACCATATTTTTGCTGTTGTATTTATTCAGTTTTTATGCTCGTGCATTTAGTAAAATTGTAAATATATTTTTGAAAAGGTTTTTGTCGTAGAGGAAAATGAAAATGATGAATGATTAAAATTTGTAATGTTGGGTATAAGGGCGGATAACATTGAAATACCTATAAATATATTAAATATAAATAATGTATGTAACTTATTATTTGTGGTGCAGCATTTTCCTTTGATTTTCATGGCCAAACGTGGTTCATATTATTGTTTTCTTACTATTTCAGCAAAAATTTTAAAAAAATACCAAGTCAGATTTATAAAATTTTACCGTTATTCAAATAAAAGTTACCCACACGCACGACAATGGCCACAGTTGCATATACATTCCAAAGTCACCTTCAAGCATGCTTACCTGTGGAAGGATAGCTGATGTGGATGTTTATAATCCAATTTCTTACAAATTCTGCACTGTCTAACCATATTCACACCTTAAAAGTTTATCCAAAATACATGTATAAACACTAATCACGTTTCACTTACTAAAATCACAACTATTTTCTAACAAGAGACGCCATATTCTGCCAACCACGGCAGAACGAACGAGGAACACGCTACAAATTATTGAGTAGTTGCCAAGTCTTCAAACATGGCAAATATGAAAAATGAAAAATAGTTTAATATGTACAGAATTTAACAATATTGTATGCATAACTTAATAATACTGCCCTATAATAATAATTTTCACAATTGTGATGAAAATTGCGATAAAAATATTAAGTACATTTCCAGTATAATTATACAGCTGACAACAATGATACAATTAGACTGTGAATAGAAATGTAAATAAATAAGTCCCCTTTATTTAAATGTCCTTGGTTGCTACACTCCTATCTCTCCCTCTTTCTCTCTCTTTCTCTCTCTCTCTCTCTAAACCTACGTTACACTCTCGGCCATTGGAACGCTGCAGTAGTATGCTGTAAGATCTTATCTAATTCTCTATTCTCTAAATTAATCTGCTGAATCCATATAAAAGGGATATTTATACATATTTAAACCTATGTGCTTTGTTTATATTTATATAAAGTGTCATTAAATTATATTGAAATTTCATACTACTCGTATTCAAGAAGTTCTCTTGAGAATGAAACTACTCTCTACGGTTCACCATGAAAATCATGGAGACATGGAGAGTACAGTCTAGTCTCCCTGATAAAAATGATGGTCTATGACGTAAACGGTGAAAAATTGCCTACAAAAATTAAATTACCTATTTAGTAATTTTTACAAATTAGTATTGGCAATAGTGAGTTTGATAATTAATGATGGTGTGCCAGTACTGCCATTATCAAAAGAGGGAAACAATTTTTGTTTCATTTTCATTGTGAAATTACACTGACATGAAAGCACGTTTTATGAAGAATCAAATTTTATTTGGGATAGTGAAAATTGTTGTTTTATGGGACTAATAGTGTTCTGTAGCGAAGTACAGATTTAGAAGTGTTTTAAAAATGGAGGACCGTCCTAAGGGCAGAGGTGCAGTCCTTTTAAAGCTTTTAAAAGAAAAAGCAGTTGGACAACCAAAACCGGAGGAAACTCCTGCGCCAACAGAGCCTCCCAGGCCTAGAGGAAGAGCAGCGTTGTTGCACCAACTCCAGCAGAATCGTTTAAAATCCGTTGGTGCTGCATCTACTTCAACAGCAGTTACAGCTTCTAGTTCATCAGAGGCAACAAGTGGGTTAACGGCAAGCAAAGTACAAGATGTTATAACACAAATATCTGAATTAAGTTTTGTAGAAAAAGATGTAGTTAAATATAAAGGTTTGCATTTTTACCAAGGAATGTTTCATAACTGTGTTTTATTTGTTTATTTTTTTTAGGAGAAGCAGGCAAATCTATAAATGTATCTGCAAATTATATAAAGTTGCATGTTGAAAAAGAAAGAGGTGTATATGAATATGAAGTGAAGTTTGACCCTGAGTTGGATGCAAAAAATAAAAGGATAAAAATGGTAAATATTATTATGAGAGAAATGGGTAGTGCTAAAGTTTTTGACGGAGGTAACGTTCTATATCTGCCTCAAAAAATCACAGATACCAGTAAAACATTCAGAGAAACTCTACCTGGTCCAGACGGAGATCAGGAAATCAGTACAACTATAATTTATAAACGCAAAAAGAGTATGGGAGAACGAGAATGTATTCCTCATTACAAAGTTCTCTTCAAAAGAATTATGCATATATTACTGTATACTCAAATGGGGAAGAATTATTTTGATACAGAGCACAAGTATCTTATACCTCAACACAAATTGGAGGTATTCCCGGGTTTCGCCATTACCGTCGATGAGCTCGAAGACGGATTGCTATTATGTCTTGACACACAACATCGAGTGCTTCGTACACAAAATGCGTACGAGCTTTTAAATGAATTGAGGTGTTCAGACCCTCGCAGATTTAAGGAACTTGCTACTGCCAATATTATAGGATCTTGTATATTCACACGATACAATAATAAAACATATACAGTGGACGATATAGCTTGGGATATGTCACCAGTAGATACCTTCCCCACGAGAGATGGTAAAAGCATCTCTTTTGTTGATTACTATAAACAGCAGTATAATATTGTTATCAGGGATGTTACCCAGCCATTATTGATTAACAGAAAAAATTTAAAAGTTTCGGGAAGTTCCGAAAAAGTGGAACGCATGGTCTGCCTGATACCAGAATTGTCCTTCTTAACGGGACTGACTGATACGATGAGGAGTGATTTTAGGGTAAGAATTGCGATAAAATTTTGTGTTTAATAGCGTACATTGTCTAAAAAATTACAACAAAAAAAGTGCTTTGGGGGGCTCGATTTTGAAATTTCTCCATTGGTTTAAAAGACTGTAAAATAATACTTTGACTAAAATCATTATCTTGAACATTTTAAAAATCATAAATTACTTGAATATGGTCATTGTAGGTGATGAAAGACGTTGCTCAATACACACGTGTAACCCCACATCAGAGAATGGCCGCCTTACGCACATATCTATCTAGCGTCAAAAATTCCGAGAAGGCTCAGCAGATTCTAAACGAGTGGGGATTAAGAATTGACGGGGGAACAATAGATATGCGCGCTCGGCAACTAGATAACGAAACGATATGGTTTGGCGGAGACCAGACACACAGGACCAATAACAATGCGGACTGGACCAGGGCCGTCGGTGAAAACCAGGTGACTGGCCCTGTAGATATGATCAATTGGATCGTATTTCATACGGAGCGTGACACCAAATATGCCAAAGATTTCAGCGATACTATGACGAGGCTAGGTGGAGTGATGGGATGTACGATCGCTTATCCCAGAATTATAAAACTAGCCGATGATAGGACCGAAACGTACATGAACGCTTGCAGACAATATATTGCCAAAGAAGTACAAGTAAGTATTAGCATTCGGGGTTGAAACGATTTGAATCACTTGTAGACCAGGTGGGACCTGTTTTGGTGTGGATGTTTTATATAGTATGGCTAATTTTTGCTTTAATGGCTCCAAAATTATATAACAAAACGTAATTTCACTATGCGCGCGCTTTAAAACTTGTGCTAAACTTATTATTATGTATGTATGTATGTCGGGGTGGTGGAAAATTGCTTTTCCACCATGGCACTTAGGCCTTATTAGGCCTCTTGTACACCCCCCTTCATTACTCAAGTACTTTTCTTCAAACCATCCTATTTACTACACGGGTGGCTTGGTGGCAATGTTTATGTATGAGCAATGGTCTTGAGTTACAGAGATTTATTGCTCTATTCTCATTATAATTTTATCGGGGACCACACACAGGCGGAAGGTGTTGAGCGACCCAGGTCTCTGGTAGGCTGCCACAGCCACGTCCCCGAACCTGCCTTAGGTCACCCATCCAGGTGCCAGCCTGCGTTCGTGATGCTTACCTCGGCCGATCGAAATCCATCGGCTAAGACACCTGGCTAGGCGATCCCCTAAACTTATCATTAAACAAATAGTGAAAAAATTGGGAAAAATTCAATTTTTTTTCTTTTTTTCAACACAGTTTAAAAACCACTAATTTTAGAGAAAAATTGAAGAGGAAAAAAAGATTCGTAATTAAATTTTGCACAAGATATAACCTATTTTCAAATAAAAAAATACAACATAATTATTGCAAATATAGCAAAAACAAAAAAAGTTAAAAAAATTACAATATTTTTTATATTTAAAATAAAATGAAATCATTAACTGATTAAATTATTGTTTAATTTTTAAAAATGTATATGAACACTTATTAATTAATTTATATTCAATAAAAATGTAGTATTTTCAAAGATAATTTGATTTTAAAAATTTTATATAATTATTGTTTGAACAAATGTTGAATGCGACAAGAGCGCAAGTTTTGCAAATTCACTCTCGGAAAGTACTCGGAATGACAAAGGTATTTGTTTAAAAAATAAACTGTGGAACCGAGTAACAAATCATGTTTTTTTTTAAAGAAGCGTCTTTCTGAGTACTTTAAAAGCATAATTAAAAAATAATAATTTTAATGAATTTATAAAGTTATTCTATTGCTTTGTAAGCGCAAAAATTACACATATTTTTAAACAATTACCACAGCTCTCCTAATTATTGGAATTCAATTTTTCTGGACGCATTTTAACGTTTAAGTGACCTTTTTTGTGTGATAAAATTTTCAAGTATCTAGAAGTCTTAATTTAGGCTCAGTTAAATTTGCAAAAATTTCATTTTTTTTTTCAAAAATCTGGATTGCAAAATTATTACTCGAACACTATCGGACCGATTTTAACGAAAATTGGTTTAACGTTTTATTATATCAAAAAGATTTTTTTGGCCAAGTATGAAGATGCTACCTATAATATATAAATATTGTAATTTTTTTCACTTTTTTTTATTTTAGTTATTAGGAAGTTGATTAAATCCTCGCTCTTTTTCCGTGAAACTTGATGGTTTATTTAAAAGAATGAGTAAAAAACGTGTCACTGAAAGTATTGTCCATTGCCAGCAACTACTTTTTCCCATCTTCCTGACAGCAGTTTCATTCCACGCAGGAAAAAGAGACATTTATGCTTTTCTTCCATACTATGTGATACAAATTACTTAAACTAATACTTAATAAATACAAATTTATGGGTAACTAGCTAATTAATCGTACATTACGAACCGTTCTATTACAGATCGTAGTATTCATTTGCCCCTCGATGAGGTCGGACCGCTACGCCGTCATCAAAAAAATCTGCTGCACACAGATTCCCGTGGCGTCCCAAGTGATAAATTCCAGGACTTTGTCCAACCCCCAGAAAGTCAGGGCCATAATTCAGAAGATAGCATTGCAGATGACCTGCAAATTAGGGGGTACCCTGTGGACGGTACGGTTCCCGTTCAAAGGATGGATGATTTGCGGGATCGACGTCTACCACGGATCGAAAGATAGTTCGGTTTGCGGCTTTGTGGCGAGCCTTAACGAAAGCATTTCAAGGTGGTTCAGCCTTGCACTTTTCCAGAGTCAAGAACTGGGCGACTTTTACAAGTTAGCGTTTACAAAAGCCGTAGAGACGTGGCGCAACGAGAACGGATATTATCCCTCGAAAGTCGTCATTATAAGAGACGGCGTCGGCGACGGTCAATTGGAGCACTGCCGACGGTACGAAATAGAACAATTCGAGAGCTGCTTGAAGGAGTTCGAATTGGAAACTAAATTGTGTTTCATCGTGGTCCAGAAAAGGATTAACACCAGAATCTTCGCCTTAGGGCGGGAGAGTGCGGAAAATCCTCCTCCCGGAACCGTTCTGGACCATACCGTCACTAGACGGTACATGCAGGACTTTTTCTTGGTTCCTCAGAACGTGCGTCAGGGCACAGTGAACCCCACTCATTACATCGTCCTTCACGACACGTGCAATTTGAAGCCAGATCACACCCAAAGACTGTGCTACAAACTTTGTCATTTGTATTACAATTGGTCCGGCACCATAAGAGTGCCCGCGCCCTGCCAGTACGCCCATAAACTGGCGGCCTTGGTGGGCCAGCACATCAAGAAAGCCCCGAGTGCAAGCCTCGCCGATAAACTTTTTTATTTATAAGTTCTTTTCGTTCCTCACAGTTATGTTTTGTTTTTTCTTAGTTTCGTTTAGTTTATGGATGTTTTTATACAAGGTGTTTTAGAATAAATAATAACACAGCCCAGTATATTTTCTCTGAGTGAATTTTTCATACAACTTTGCTATGAAAATTACTGTGAAATTTTCGTCTGAATAAAAATGCTATACAGGGTGATTTGTGAAAACTTTCGATAACTTGATTGAGATTTCAAGTAAAATTTTTCCAAAGCAAATTGTAAATGGTGCTGCAGTTGAAGGGAAATTTTTTTAGAAATGTTTTTTCTGCACCACCCTTCAGTTTTAATTTAATTCCGTGGGTTATGATCTAAAATTTTCTTTAATTAGTTTTTAACTAAAATTATTACAAGTTTTAAAAATTTTGGTAATGGAATACCTATTTCAAGAATTGGATTTTCAAACTGTTGACAGACTTTAAGGAACAAATCTTTGAACATGAACATGGATCCGTATATCGATAGTTTGGGATAATTAAAAAAAAAAATCTTAAAATATTTCTGAAGATGTTCAATTAGGAATGATAATTTTTAATGCAGATTGATGGAACTCAGTGTAATGATTTATGTAATTAAAGATAAAAAATCCACTAAATCTTCTTTTACAGTTTGCCCATGTATTTAACACCCTGTATACACAATTTTTTTGAATTCAAATGTGATGCAGGAAACCGCTTTGCAAATTCCTGAAAAAAGACTTATTTTGACTTCAGCACCACCTAATTTGCTTTAAAAAAATTCCAGTTGAGGTCTCGATTGACCTTATGGAGCATGTCTATCTACCGGCATTTACAAAATCCAGAAATCTTTTTTCCAACTATTTAGTGTTAATTTATCACGTGTTATATTGAAACATCTTGTATATATCTGGTTCAGAATTTTATGTTGATTTATTTGATGAAGATTAAGTTTATGTTTTAAGGTATTATGTGTTTTAATTTTTTTTGTTCTTTAACATCATTCTCTTACTGATGCTTAAAAGGTACAAATTTCAGGTCTTTAAAGTTTAAATAAATGTCATATGAACTTTAATGCGGAGTATTAAAACATGTACTTAGAAAAAAATGCCGTAACTGTTTTTCGATGACTTCCATCTCCATAAAATTTAAAAATTAGTAAAAGTAATTTCAGTTATAAATATTAGTATTAATATTTTGATTTTGATCTTGTGTTCAGCGTTTAATAAGAATTTAAATCGCAGCTTGTAAATATATTTGCATATTTATAAGCAGTGCACATTTTATTTACGTATGACTAGACTGTAATATTGTTAGTTTTTTTATGAGAATATGAGAATATTTTTTGTATTAAAATTTTGTAGAAATTTAGTGTTTTAATTTGGTTTAATTGACTGCCGATTGTAGGTACTGTACCTAACCTAAACTACCCGCCCACCCTACTTATAGGTGTGTCAAAATTTCTTGATTATGCCATCACTACTTCCAGTGATGCCAACTTGCCCCAAATTTAGGGAAAAGAATTTGAAAAAGGGGATTTTTGGGGGAAAATATTTTTAGGGTATTTTCTAGGAATATATCTAAACAATAAATCAGTTAACTTTATTTATAAATTTTGTGTACATTTTAAATTAATAGAACCTTTTTATTTAAAATTTTTATAAAAAAAAATTATGTAGGCAAGTTAATTTATTAGATTTCAATACAATGAGAAATATTTAATTATATTTTTCATCTAATTAATTAATTATGCCAAGGCAATATAATATTACCAAATAAAGTTTTATAAATCGATTGAAAATTTTATCATGTTCCAAGTTAGGGTATTTCAGTTTGAATGTAGGGGATTTTAAAATAGGCTTGGGGGAAAAAGTTTCGACCGATTGGCATAACTTTACGGCGACAGTGTAGATCAGTGAGAAAATGACAGTTTGGGCCACATACTGTATAGAAGTATGTGGTTTGGGCACTATGTCTGTCGCAGATGCTCGTATGTCATTGGTTAAGGTAACATCCTCCTGATATTTAAATATTCAAATAAAATTATGACAAAGAGTGCGATTACCCTTACTATCACTCTTTCTGCAGCGTCTTCACTTTTTAACACGCCGTGATTTCTCCATGTACATAGTATATGCTCTAAGAATTAAGTGGTGCTTTCTCCGAGACAGTTGCTTCTGACCTAGAGTCAATAAAGAGAAAAGAATTTGATTTTTGTGTGACACGCAGACTTTAGGATCACATCTTACTGTATATAGCTCCAAGGTAGCCTCACAGTAGCCGAGCGCGTTAAGTGAAGAGAGAAAGCTACTATGAAGGTACTCACTATCTCTCTCCCGCCGAACATGATTGGCTCACAACTAATCCCTTCTACGACTACGTGACAGGAACAACCAATCACATTCAACGAGAGGGACAGCATGTATCTTCAATCTTCATACAAGCTGTCTCCGTCTTCGCCTTGTATCGCGCCATGAAACTGAATTTTTGCAAAGCCTGTCTCTCTTTTGGTTGTTGTATTCTGTGCGCATAAAGTCATATCTTAAAATGACACTATCTAAGAATTATCTATAAAATTTGTAGCATCAAAATTTAAACCTAAGTTTGTAGCCATCAGCTCAACCTGCTGAACGTACTGCCACAGTAACTTTTAGCATATAGTCACAAAGATACATATACTGTATATTATGGACCGATTTGTATTATGCTGTTATATTCTTCAATTCAATATAGTTTATGGTATAGTAGTAGAAGAAGAAGAAGAAAGTTTTGTTGACATTAACAACGACAACCTTGACTTGACAACAACTGACATTGAAAGACGATACTCTTGTTTATCGTGTTTTTTTTTTCCATTTTAAATGTAGTGCATGACAATTTACCGAGTTCACCTAATTTGAATAAATAGGTGTATGTCCGTAAATGGCTGTCTCTATTTACTGTCCCATTTTTTAAGCAATACAGTATTTAACAGCTATGGGAGCTAGTGGTTCTCAGTTCCAAGATACATTTTCACAAATTCTGAACGATGAACCTATTAATTCTTTGCTCTCTGATGAAATTCATCAGTTAACTTATAATCAGTTTTTGGAATTTCTTGGAGAATTAAATTTACTGTAAGTAATATATTTGTAGTTGCAGTGCATATTTAGTACACTTATTTAATTTCAGATCAAAAAAATGTTTGGACTCCAACGGTAATCAGTTGGTTTTTGCAGTAAAGAAAGATACTGACTCTACAATTTTTTGGAAAGCAACAGTTCAAATTGCATGTGTGAAAATTAACTCTGAGACACAAAAAGTAGACACATTTAGGCTTTTATCATTAACGGAATTTCTAAAAGTTTTTAAAACTTTTAAGTGCCAGGTTGCTGCTGCAGAACAGTCGGAGACGTATAATATCGTTATTTTGTTGTTGTAATAATTATAAATCATTTTTTTTAGAGCAACCGGGCTTTCAGATTTGACTATATCCAACTTTTTGGATAAAGTTGACATTGATTCAAAAACGGGTTCTGAGGAAACTAATGAATGTTGCATTTGCTTTGAAAGAAAACAGGAGATAATTCTGCCTTGTGCACATAGTTTTTGCACACATTGTATCGAAGAATGGTATGTATTTATTCATTTTAAAAACTAGAAAATTAATTATAATGCTGAAAAATGAGTAAATCTTTAAAAGTAGTTCATATGTACCATTACCATGAAAATTTTGCTTCCAAAATTTATTTGGTTTTAATGATATTTTGAAAAATGTTTTTAATTATTGCTTATAACAAGTATAATAGCACTTAATTTTTTGTATTTATAAAAAAAAAAAACGTAAAATTCTTTGTAAATTGCAGATTATCCATTTCATTTTTTATTTGTTTTATTCATTTATCTTTTTGCTATTTTAGAAACTTGTCTGCTTATATATAATATATAATTTAACAAATATTGTTTAAAATAACCTTATTTATACCCAGATAATAAAAGACCGAGGTTGTAGTGTTTATAAATGTAAATAATTAACTTATTTATATTCTGCGTCCTATTTAAATTGAATAATAAAATACTTTTTAAGACATTTGAAATAAATAATTAACTTGTTGAGAGTAAACAATCAGACCTAGATCTAGATTTACGCCTGCTATTTTTATATAGTTCATGGAATTATTTTCTAGGAATGAAATTCATGGCACTTGCCCAATATGTCGGGAGAAACTAGAAAGTACTGACGATACATGGGTGCTCTCAGAAGTTCCTAAAGCTGAGGAAATCAGTACGGAAATACGCAATAACCTTATGGAGTTGACAAACGATAGGTCACCCCCGTGTAGCCCTTCGTAAATACTGTCCTTAAACACTTCTTAAAACATTTATAGATATTGTTTTTAGTAGTCGTGGAGATTTGGGCATTTTTATAAAAACAGCACTAGTCACGGTAGGCTTAGATCTGCAAAGAGAATTTTTAGCATTGGAAAAAAATGTTCGGATTATTGTAGCATGACGATATATTACAACATAAGACAGGTTTATTTTTATGGGGAGATTCTCTGCTCAAACATTTTGTAATTCTTATAAAATTATACATAATTATATGTAGCCAACCAGTTTTAGAAATTGTAATATTAACAAAAAAAACTATTCGATTATTTCAAATTTTGATCATCGTAAATTCAAACTTATGCAGTCAGGATAAAAATCTGTTTAATTTATTCTTTTCATGCTACGTTTAAAAAGTAATATTTGGAAGGATTGCATTATGTGTTATATTTACTAAAAAATTGCATTTGTTTTTTAAAACAATTTCGAGATATAGTGTATGTAGTGTTTTTTTGTGTACCTTTACTTTTTTATCCGGTATTGCACAGATCGGGTACAGTGAAACAATACGATACGTCAGTACCGGTATTTTTTGAAGAATCGTTCTTCTAATATGTATGATTTATGGCATTCCCTAACAGTGAATGTTGATGAGAAACCAATACACAGTTGTTATATTAGTTGCTTTACAGTAACGGTATTTACAGTTTAATCAATTCAATGAATAGCTTTAAATTTGAAAGATTTATAGTCTGAATATTTTTTAATGTATGCTTATTTAATTGGCAAGTATTAAATTTTACAAATATGTAAACTTTTTTAAAATAACTGTTTTCTTTTTTAATTTTCTGTTAACTTTCATTATATTATTGATCTGTTTTTATTTCTATATGCTTTTTAAGACTACTTTTAATATTCTTGGATTTGGGGCAAAGTGAAAGTGATAATAGTGTCATCTATACTATTTGTAGTGTAGTTTAAAAATTATTTGTTAAATATTAAATGATATTGTTATAAAATTAACTATAATAACACTATTACACAATTTTGTTTCAACGTGTCATGTACGTGCTGTGCAATGTTGTCTTTTTTTTATTTCGTGTACTTGTTCCTGAGTATTTTTAGTAGTGAACGCATCCTGCAGCTCATTAGACGTAATTTTGAGGTGAAGGTTACTTATGCTAAATTAGGGATGTAATACAGCGAATCATAACACAAGATTACGTTTTGGAGTTGTAGTTTTTCGTCTAATTTATACAGCTATACCTTTTTAAGGGCAGCACATTCTGATAAAAGTAATACAGTAATACAGGGTGTTTACAAATTTGAAGAGGACCTACTGACCACATTGATCAATTAAAACATTTTTGGAACCGCCGAATAAAGCGATACAAAAACAAAGAAATCAAAGAATATAACCTGTAGTAGTTAAACGGGTTTAAATGACAACTGGTAATCCATTCCGCAATGACGTCTCAAGCACTAATCTCGCTAGGTACTGTTTGTTGGTCTCGTTAGTCTATTTTTTATTTTTCCTCTAGTAAAAAAAAAGAATTATTGTTAGTACATGTTTCTGTGGCCTTAAAACTTAATTTTTTGTTCTACTTAAAAAGTAGTGAACAAACGTAAGCGGATGTCACCATTTATGTAGTCCATAACTAGCGGGACAATTCCAGATGTTCCCAACAAGTTTTAACAATTGCGGTTGTTATTAATTTTAAACACCATTTTGCAGTTCTAATGATTTTGATAATTGAAAATGCTTGTTATTTAAAAATTCCCTTTAGATTTGTAAACAGCCCGTATAGAATTTCATTCACGTTTTATTAAATGTGGTAAATCATTGATGTTTCACAGACTGAAGAAGTACCTATAGGCCAACCAATAGAGCGAAAAAAAAAAAGGCTCTTAAATATTACAGCAAATTTCATGTATTTCCTTTTCAAAAATACTTAGTAAATGGAAACCCAAGTGATTTTCCCAGCAGACGTGAAGAATTTTTTTTTAAACAATAAAAACTGCAAAAAAATGACATTTTTGTTTGTTTTTTTTTTATATATTTTGAAAAATAATGATGGAATCGTCTTTCTCTCAATAGGACTTTTGTAGAGAATAAAAAAACCTATAAAATCGTTTTTTGTGAGACCCGATCGGTTCATGTTTTACAGACAGAAAAATTCATAACACCGTCAAATTTGAAGCTGGAAAAACAATCTTGCGGAAAATGACAGATAATACTATGTAGTTTAAACGTGCGCAAGATGGTTTCTGTCCGATACATAGTTTTTGCACAATTGCATTATAAACAAATTAGGGTTTTTTTACACAGCGTGTCGATTTATCGAAAATTGTCCAATTTAAATTCTGAAAACGGCATCTGAAAGTAGACGACAAAACCACCAATTTGTATATCGGATTTTCGCTTGGGCGATGAGAAATATGCTAAAAATGCCCTTGTAAGTCACCCGAAACAATCGAAAGTACGCTCGCTGCTTCCCCCAATACTACTACCCAACTCTGGCTGTGGCTCGACTGTTTTTCCAGCTTCAAATTTGACCGAGTTACGAATTTTTGAAAAAGGTCTATATTAAAGGTTTTTAGGATTTTCTCTGTAAAGAATGAACTGAACTCTGTAAAGAATGAACTGATCGGGTTCTACAAAAGTCCTATTGAGAGTAAGACAATTTCATAATTATTTTCCGAGATATTATAAAAAACACAAAACAAAAATGTTTTTGTTTAAAAAAAAATTGTTCACTACTTTGCTGGGGAAATCACTTGGGTTTTCATTTACTAAGTATTTTTCAAAAGGTAATACATGAAATTTGCTGTTAATATTTTAATATGCCAAAAAATCTATTGGTTGCCCTACTATTATATGAAATGTTTTTTTAAACAAAAATCAAATAAATTTAGTATACAGGGGGTTCTTTTTTAATATTTCTCAGCCCAATATCAAAAACAAAAATTGATGCTTTCTAGCTCCATGTTTGACTTTAAATTATTTATTTTTTAATATTGGGGGGTTATACAGGGTGTTTTTAAATAAGTGCGAAAGATTTTAGGGGGTGGTTGCTGAAGTTATTTTGTGGAAAAAAATTCATATAAACGTAGGTCGAAATGCTTCGTTTCCGAGATACAGTGTTTAAATTTTAATTTTTTATTTAAGTATTTTTGTTAATTATTTCAGAATTTTAAAGATATTGACTCAAAATTTGAAAAACGGTTTGGAGGGATAAATGTGCATTTTTTGGGGGATCCAAATATTTCTACTTACACCAGTGGCGTTCGTGCGAGAACCAATACAACTTTCTTTAATAAAAAAAATCGTACGCCATTGACTTTTTCCCATTTTGATATTTATTTATAAATTCTGATTGAAATTGGTCTCTTCATATTTTCGTAGGATGCACCATTTTTTGAGGAAAAAAATAAAACATACTTTACTGCAACAAGCTTATTTTTAATTTCTATTGATACATTATCTAGTAGGTTGCTGTCAATATTTTTAAATAAAATACAACCATCAAATTTCGAGTCAATTTAAAATTCTTTGACATAATAAAAATAAATAAAAAATTAAAATTTAAACACTGTATCTCAGAAATGAAGCATATTTCAACCTACGTTTATATGAACTTTTTTTTCACAAAATAACTTCGACAACCACCCCCTAAAATATTTCTCACTTATTTGCAAACACCCTGTATATTTAGTCCTTTGCTTTTTTTGTTTAAAAAAAAATTATTAAAAAATCAAATACATAGCATTTTAACCAGGACAACTTTTATACTGAAATAATATTTTGGACATTATTGGTCATATTTTTTTTCATATGGAGTTGAAACCATTTTCTTTGTTTTTTGAGATTTTGGCAGGGAGTTTTAAATGTAACACCCTGTATGTTTTTCCTGTGGCAAACGATGTTTAATTGTGATTTTATGAAGTGTAGTTTTATCTGTTGATGATGTTTGTAACAATTTATATATTTACTGTTTAAAGTTTTATAATAAATCAAAATGTATGTGTTACATTTGTTATTTGAATATTTTCCGGCCTTTTTCATTGGACTCGATGAAAAATAAAAAAAAATGCATTAGCAAAATTACATATATTTCGCAACTTTAATCAACTGATAAAGGTAGAAAAAAATAGTAAAAATTAATGACACTTTAATATTCATTATAAGTATATACAAACGGCTAAATTGATATAATATGATCCGCAATATTTAAAATTCATATAAATAACAAAAATTAATTCTTATCACAACTCAAATATGTTTAATCACATTGTATAAATAACCCTCTAATTTACCCAACTCGGGACTAAGAAATCCCAACTATTACTTTTTCTTTTTTTTTATCAAGGCTTTTCGCCTCTTTTCCTCTTCTTCTTTCTTCATATCTTCCAGATCCTCCATTATACCTGTAACGATGAAACACATAACAACGATAACTAAATTGATTTTAACCGAGAAATTAAAAACTTTTTTGAGAGACTCGAGAATTCATACTAACCTATCTTTGTACTGATGACCTCCTCCCTCATCTGTTGTGCAAACGAAGACTCCATATTATCGACGTCGTCGTCCATATTTCGGTATCTCGATTTATCGTAACCAAATATTTCGCTGATGTACCTGGAGTAGTCTTCGTCAGGCTCATCGTCGTCGATGAAATCGTCCATTTCAGAATCATACTCGCTGTCCTCGTCATCCAATATCCTCCCTGGAAGAAAGATGATTAGTACTTATTGAAGCTTTTCACCTCCGAATTCTTTGAAACTGAACCGATCGATTTGAAATTTGGCAGATAGAGAAAAGGTCAATGAACATTAGTGACATAGCGCCGATTGACGCTTCTCGGGGGTGGAATTTTTTTTTCAAAAATAACGCTGGAACTCTATAGAGAACCAAATTTTGAGCAAAAAATATTCGAAGAATTTTTTCGAGAAGTCAATAGTTTTTTAGTTATTCACGAGTGAAAACTTGGAATTTTGAGCGAAAAAAAAAACGCTTTCAAAGTATTTTTCGCGAATAACTGGAAAACTACGCATTTTATTAAAAAAAGTGTAATGAACAAAAATGTAGCTTATAAATAAACAAAGAAAATCGTTTTTTAAAGTGTTGTACGTCCTATACAAAGCGAAATATGGTTAGTGGAAGGGGACTTGTTTTTGGGGGAATACTCGAATCGATGTATTCAACATCAAATAACGGAAAAAGGATTAATTTTACTTGTATACCGCTCCAGGAGTTTTTTTGAAGTACTCAAAAAGACCTATAAAAATTTTTCTCAATAAAATGCTTAAAACTTATTTTTTTCAATTTAATATCACTTAAAAAACAAAAAGCGTTAAGTCACTTTTGAATTTGAGCCTAAGATGAGCCTTATTCTAAATTTTCGTGCAAATCCATGCAGTTTCAAAGAATTCGGAGGTTACGGCTGATTTTCAGCTTCAATGACTGTACTAGATGATTTTGTCACATATCTTTGGGGAAATTAATATGCCAAGATCTTATTAAACCTAATCAAAAATTTCAAACTAAAAAAATTAGTTAACGTTTCTAAGAATCCAACTTTCAGACAACTAAAATATCTCGATAGACAGAGAAAAAAAATAAAGTGGCCTTTTGCAACTACATTCATTGGTACCTTTTTTAACCATAATAGGTCTCTTCTTGGGCAACTCTTTCCTCCGGACATCCGGCGGTGGGAACTGCCTGGGTTTCAGATCCTTCGGAGGAAACTGTTTCAGCTTAAGATCGCTGGGCGGGAACTGTTTTGGTTTAAGGTCATTAGGCGGGAACTGTTTTGGTTTAAGGTCATTAGACGGGAACTGTTTTGGTTTAAGGTCATTAGGCGGGAACTGTTTGGGCTTGGAGTCCTTCACAGGGATTTGCTTATTCTTAGATTTGATATCAGTCGGTGGTAACTGTTTGGGTTTAGCGTCCGTTGGAGGTTTATACCGAATGTCGCCAGGTAAGTATCTTCTCTGTGGTTCTTCCGGTTGTGTCTTTTTAGGTGTCAGATCTTTCGATGGTGCTTCTCTAACTTTATCGTTCATTGACGGTTTTGATCTGTCTTTAAGGCTGTTCATGTTATTGGTGCTATTTTTATAGTTTTCTTGTTCCCGAACGGTTGGTTTGGTGCTATTAGGAGGTCTAGACTTTGAGGGAACTGGATTAGGTGGCCGAATTTTATCCGGAATTGGTGTAGGTCTGTCTGGAACCGAGGATGTAGATGGTTTCCTTATAGTTTCTTTAGAATTGGTTGAGTAGGGTTTAGCACTTGGGTGACTAGTAAGCTTAGGGTTGGAGTGTTGGGCACTGTTTACTTTAGGAATACGACCATCCGAGCTTTGTGGTCTTCGATCGGGATGTTTCATAGATTTATCCCCAAGTTTTGGAATTCTGTTACTACTTGAACCGTTTGGTTTACTTTCTGACATTTTTCTAGCTTCCTTGCGTTGAAGATATTCCTTTTCCTTTTCTATTTCCTTTCTCTGTCTTTTGGTCAACAATTTTTCCTCCTCTTTCTCTTTTTTCTCTATAACTATTGGTTCGAATTGCTTCTTTTCAGCAATTTTCAATAAATCTAGAATACAGAATGATTGTATTCACCAAACACACCGTTATAGAATAATAAATTAACAGATACATAAATTTTCATTTGTCCAGCAGTGTATACCACATGTCCCAATATTCTATGTACATGGAACTGCTAGTCTTGGGACCAAAGTAAGATGATTTAATTAAGCTTATCTTTATGTAGTATTGTTTTATTTAACCACGAAAGTGTGGTAAAGCCTGAAAAAAGATTTGTAGGTTTTCCCAAATTTAAACTTGAAATTTTGATTTACTTTGTAATAAAAATGGAATAGCTTTTAGATCAGGGCGGATCTGTTTTGAGGTGGATGTGAGAGGGGGCAAGCAAATTTTTTCTGGATTACCTTCAAAACAACACATAATAAAAGTGTAGAGCCCTAGATCTGGGCGAGGTTCGGAACATTTTCAAAATTGCAAAAATGTTTCAAAAAATACCTATTTTATCTGAGTTTTTTACTTATATCTTGGAACCTATACATTTTGGAAGAATATTGAAGAGGAAAAAAAATTTAGAATTGAATTTTGCACAATATACTGTAAGTTAAAAATGTTTAAATTTATTGCTGTTGTTGCAAAATAGCAATAATTGATGAAAAAAAGGCAAAAAAAAAAGTTTTTTGGATAATTTTTTTAAAATGTTTTAATTGCTCTGATGGCATTCTAATTTTAGTAAAAAAAAACTTTATAGTATAATAAAACAACACACCAAATTTCATTAAAATCGGTTCAATAGTTTTTGCAAAATATTTTGAAAAAATTTTGAATTTTCAAAATTTTGCACAGCCTCAAATAAAGCATCGAGATACTTGAAAATTTTTTCACATAGAAAAGACCGCTCAACCCTTCAAATGGTTTTTGAAAAATTGAAATCGGTTGATTAGGTCGGCCACAGTAAATTTTTAAAGTTAACACTCTTTTTTTATTTTTAAACAATTGGGTTACATTTATTTATCAATTTGCAGTTTGGTTTTTCAAAAATTATAATTTTAAATTTCAAAAGGCCGTAACAGTTTCACACATACGAAATATTAGGACACACTGTATACACCAATTATAGGACAAACTGGCATAGATAATTTGTAATCATAATGTACATTATTAGAAAAATAAATAATAAAGTTAATAAAGCTCCTAGTTCAACACAATTTTTAAAATCAATACGTGCACAATATGTTAGCTATACACCTAAGTCAAAACAGGTAATTTCTAGACGTTCTATATTGAGAGTTATAAGTCTACTTACCAGCAAAATTCATGAGAGGAGGAGCTGGTTTATGTTTTTTTGGCGGAGGTGGCGGTAGAGGTGATGTAGACTTGTACTCATCTGGTTGATCTGGTCGACCATAACTAATTCCATCTTCGTCGTCGTCATCCTTATGTTCTTTATGTTTTCTTTTTCTCTTATGAGGTAACAAAGCATCTTCTCGTTCTTTCTCCAGAGCAGCTTTTACCCTATCTTTAGTGTTGCTTAGATTTGTACTCACTTTCTTTTTGGCCGGATCGAATTTGGGTTCGTCTGGCATCTTACTGTACTTTTCCATCATTTTATTGTAAAATGCAGATGCTTCCTGTGAAACATATCCGTAATCATCTTCATCGGGTTGCATGGGACCAGCCAATGTTACAGCTGTGTTGTCGTTATCTACGGCATCTTGGATTACCGACTGATTTGCTGATTTGGTTCTTTTCAGCATAACATTTACACGGCGAGTTGCCTTTTTATCCTAAAATAAGTTTTGTCTTTGGTATTAGATTATTTCCTTCAAAATACTATACTTACCTGTGCCCTTAATGCTAATAATTCTTCCCTCTTTTTCTTCTCTTGTTCCGCTTTTGATTTTTCTTCTGCTTCTTTTCTGGCCAAAAATTTCTTTATATTGTTAGACAATTCTTTAGCCTTTTTTTCTTTTTTGGGAGGTTCGAACTTAGTGCTATAATATCGAACCTATAGAGAATAAAAATGAGTTTAAATAAATGAATCTTCTAGAATTGTTATTTAGGATTGTACAAACATGAATAAATTGAAATTACTTGCCCCATTTTTATTTGTCTTCTCATTTTTTTGCGCTGTATGCAGTAACTGACCAAAATCCATCTTACCAACGTAAATTACACTCGAAAACAACAAAAAACTAAGGTAATAATTTATTTATGTCACCACATATCGAAACTTTCCATGTACATGTCAGCAGCCATTATTAAAACTGAAACAAGAAATAAAATGAAGATAGCTACAACCGATTTTTAGCAATTTTTCACCACCGACTATACCGGCGATCCGATAATAACACGTACCTAGTTTCAGAAAAAATTAAAGTTACTAACATGTTACCGCGCCATTATTCTATGGCTAGAAATTGGCCTCAATGATTTGGGATCGAGGGGGATTATCCCTCTTTATCCTGCCTCATCTCGTGTAGGCCTG